TCCTGGGGGCCCCTGGAGGGGGACAGAGCCTGCATGGACGAGGTGGACTCGGACATGGCCGGGCTGCCCGCGCTCTGGCTCTCCACGTCGCCCCCCACGGAGGACGAGTCGTTGGTCAGGACGTCCCCCTCGACCGACCCGTTCTCCATGGCCTTGAGGCTGGCCTGCAGCTGCTCGGCCAGGCCGGCGTTGATCATCTTCATCTGGTTCTCCAGGGCCGCGATGCTGGACACCTCCAGGGGCAGCGGCGAGGACGAAAGGCTGTCCTGGGAGGCGTCCGCCGACCGGGGCGTGTCGGGGATGCTGCCCTCGGGACAGTCGTCCATGTTCTCGTCGGAGAAGTTGTCTACGTCGTCGAAGTTCTTCTCGTCGAAGGAGCCGGTGTCGGAGCCCATGGACTCGGGGTAGCCGTCGGGCATGGGCGTGTTGGGGATCTGGCCGCCCATGTGCATGCGGATGTGCTGCTGCAGGACCACGGCGTTGGTGAACTTCTTCTGGCAGATGGGGCAGGAGTGCTGCACGCGCAGCGGGGGCATGGCGCGGTGCACGCTGTAGTGGGTCTTGAGGTTGCCCTTGGTGGTGAAGGCGCGCCCGCAGACCTTGCACTTGAAGGGCCGCTCCCCGGTGTGCGTGCGGTAGTGCATCTTCAGGGCGCTCTGGCAGCTCAGCACCCGGTGGCAGATGACACACTCGTTGGGGTCCGCGGCCTTCTTGTCGATGTTCTCCACCAGCTGCTGCAGCTTGGACGTCTCCGAGGCCTGCGTGGAGTCCAAGAGGCCCCCGAACGGGAACTTGGCCTTGAACTGCTCGGACATGAGCGGCAGCAGAGGAGGGTGGGGGGCAGCGGCAGGCCCACCGACGTGGTGAGGGTGGGCAGGACGGGCTTGGTGTCCAGCCAGCTGGTGACAGGCTTCTCGGGGGGGATGGACATGCCGTAGGGGATGCCGGTGCTGGTGGGGATGTTGTCCAGGTGCTCGGGCACGGGGTAGGGGTTCATCTGGATGTGGGGGTACTTCTCCTTGTGCCTCTGGAAGTGCACCTTCAGGTTGCCCTTGGTGGAGAAGCGGTTGCCGCAGATGTTGCACTTGAAGGGCCGCTCGCCCGTGTGGGAGCGCAGGTGGATCTGCAGGGCGCTGTCGCTGCCGAAGACCTTGGCGCAGAACCTGCACTTGTGCTTGAAGAACGCCTCGTCCGACGCGCTCTTGGCCTCGAAGGCCGCGACGGTGGGCGGCTTGCTCTTCCTCTGCTGGGCCAAGGCCGACAAGGGGTTCAGGTCCTCGGCAGTCGTGCCCACGCTGGGCAAAGGGCTGGGGAACACCGCGCTGGCGGGGGCCGGCTGAGGTAGAAGTGGGTTGGACGCAGGGCTGAGCAAGCTGCTTATGGCGAAAGCTGGGGAGGAGGCCGCCGCCG